TACATATCTATATGCATATATATATATATATATATATATATATATATATATATATATATATAATATGCATATATAATATATACATATATATATATATGCATATATATATATATATATATATATATATGTAAATGTATACACACATATACATACATACATATATATGCATATATATATGTATATATATATATATATATATATATATATATATAATATATATATATATATATGTATATATATACATATATATACGTATACATACATACATATATGTATATTTAGATATATATATGAATATGTATATGAATATGTATATATATATATATATATATATATATATATTATATATATATATAGATAGATAGATAGATAGATAGATAGATAAATGTATATATATATATATTATATATATATAGATAGATAGATAGATAGATAGATATATATATATATATATATATATATATATATATATATATATATATATATATATATATGTATATATGGGCGTTTGTATGTGTATATATTTGAGCGCGCGTGCGCGTGTGTGTGTATGTGTGTGAATGTGTATGTATGTGTATGTGCTTGTCGTGTACGTGTCGTGTGGGTTTGTGTGCTTGAGAGTGTGCCTATGTATGCCTGTACATGTACGTGTGTGTGTGTGTGTGTTTGTGTGTGTGTGTGTGTGATTTCTGTGGCGGGTTTGTGTGTGAATTCTGTATTTACCCTTCGCACGTTAATCAAAATGGTTACCTTTGGTGCAACACACGCATTTCTTGCCGCAGCCGCCCCGCCGCATTTCCTCCGGGCAGCGTTGCTTCGGAGTGCAGGTTCCGACGTCACACTCCCCCGTGCATCTGGCCGTCCGTTGAAGGGCCTTGACTGGAGAGAAAATACGAGAATAATTCCCTTTCAAAGTCGTTCCCTGTAATTAGTAAGTGTTCCTCTCATCCAAACAGTGAGTTTATGTATGGTTTTAGGTGTGTGTATGTAGATATGTGTTAATATACGAACACAAAAATTTCGTGGAAAGTGTGAGCCATTTAACCTCACCTAGACAGCACTCTTTGGATTCCCCGCAGTCATTGGCGTCGTCGGCATATTCCTTGCAAATTCTAGCCGCCCGGTTGCTACGAAAGCATTTTCCTCCAGCTCTCCGACAGGCCCTTCCTTTGTCCTGTGAAATATTTTCGATAAGGCTGGGATTTTTTTTTTCATCTCTGTAGGAGCTTTTTCGGAATTATTGCGATCAGAAATAAGATTCGCATTTTACACATTTTAGCCGAAATTGTTTCCCATCGATATATGCGGATATCTCGTCAGTAATAAGACGGATTAGAATAACACCTGCAAAACTATGCCAGATTTAGTAAGAATAAGGCTGATGGCAACGGTGACAATTTTACTAAGCAAACGACATCAACAGGAAAGGCCTTTACTTACAGGACGGGCAGATTCAACGGTGATGATTGTCGTTACAAAAACAACCATCATTAACAACAAAATAAGTTTCCTCATCTTGACTTCTGGCGTTCCTCTGCTTGGCCAGAAGAAAGCTGCTTTTTGAAGTGTATCTCTTCCTCCAGTTGTATTATTCTTCTTGAAATCGTCGTAAACCGCTTCTGGCTGTGTAGCGTTCTGGTGCACAAAGTGGTACTGACTAGACGTGAACCGTTCTTTATAGGTACAAAGCCCAACGTTTGGGGTTTGGCTAACGACGTCACAGATCGTTCGTTATAAACGCTGATTGGCTGCTGAATGCAGTGCCAGGCACAACCCCCATCCCCCCCTCTCTCTCTCGCCCCCTCTTCTCTCTCTCTCACTCTCGCTCCCCGTCTCTCTCAACCCCTCTTCCCTCTCTTCTTTTCCCTTTCTTATATCATCTCTTCTCTCTCTTCTTTTCCCTTTCTTATATCATCTCTTCTCTCTCTTCTTTTTTCTTATCTCATCTCTTCTTCTCATCTCCCCGCTTCTCTATCTATTCCTCCCATCCTCTCTCTCTGCTCTCTCCCCCTCTCTTTCGCTTTCCCTCCCTCTCACCCGCCTCTCCCTCTGTCTCCCCCCCCCCCTCTCTGTTTTACACATCCAACCTCCCCACTCTCTCTTTACCCTCTTCTCTTTTCTCCCCCTCACCCCCTTTTCTCTTTCTTCGTCTCTCTCTTTCTCTTTCACACATCCATCAACACCTCTCTCCTTGCCCGTCTCTCATATAGTCTCCAACAGAGTTACCATATCAAATAATGGAAATAAAGACAGGGCATTTCTGTATAAATGTTATTAGATGAGCATTATTAGATGAACACAAGGAGCATAAAGTACATAAATCGGTCAGAATATATTCTCTGAGATGCTATAGTGTTTTTTTCCTTAACATTGTATCGGTTTTCATTCCCCTTACGGTTATTAGAGCTCTTGCCTTGCCTTGATAATGCTATACTCGTGCAAGCATATAACAACACATTTATATTTTTATTGCCTTTATATATGTTTATATGATTTCATTCATTTTACAAGATTTCTCTTAAAAATCATAATATTCATTGCTATGAAGACTACACACACAAATATACAGTATACAAATTCGAAAAAAAAACGAATCGACACCGTTTGTTTGAGAGAGAGAGAGAGAGAGAGAGAGAGAGAGAGAGAGAGAGAGAGAGAGAGAGAGAGAGAGAGAGAGAGAGAGAGAGAGAGAGAGAGAGAGAGAGAGAGAGAATCAGATATTTCCAAATACCCTCTAAAACGAAAGAAAATCCCGTCGTAAAACATAAGCAAAGCTAATATTCTCTGGTGTGAAAATACGTGCAATAGATATGAGGTGGGCCTCGAGTTATGAATTTCAGGTGTATTTATTTAGGTTTATTTTCAGGTTTATATGGACTGAGCTTGAACAATTAAGCAAACTACCACAACGCGACGCCTCTCCCGTGTTGGAAATAAAGCCAACAGTTGGTACTTAACTTGATCTAGCAGAGACGGCTATGGTTTACAATAGGTCGAGCAACACCTGTTCAGTCCGGCTCACACCTGTTTTCCCTTCTCGGCGCTTAAACCAACTACGTCTCTTTCCGCATGGAACGAATATCATTGGTAAATGTAGGTCGTTGTTTAGAAGAAGAAGGAAAAAATCATGCGGTTCTTGGGGAATGCTACTGATAATATTAATGTTGAGATTGATGTTAAAGATAAAAAGTTGGTGTGAGTGGTGCCCAACAATCGATGAGAAATGGCATCAAATTCTAATCTATTTTTTTTTCCCACAAACACAGTCACAATAAATGTTGGTGGGATAGTTGTTAATCATAAATGTATGTGAAAACAACTAAATGAAGAGGTTAATGGGCCATATTTTCTTATTATGGTTCTCAGTGTCAAGACCATTACGATAATGGTGTTTAATGGTTTTCTTGTGATTATTGTTATCATCATTATAGTTATTATCGTTGTTATCGTTATCATTATTGTCATCATAAATAATTATAATATTATTATCCTTATCATTATTGTTATTGTTGCCCTTTTCATTATAATTTTCATGATCACATCTTTTATTATTATCCTTATTATCATTATGATCATTATGATCGCTATCAATATTACAATAATGATGATCATTGTTATTGGAATCATAATATTTTACCCAGAATTGCAACTTACACATCTTAAGATTACTGAGCCACAGTGAATCCAGCCTTACCACCTGCCTTTTAATAATCCTTTTACGCAATGACCAATTCCGTTTCTTCGTAATCACATCATTGACCCACTTTATCCGTGCAAGAATCCGCAGGCAAGAGTCGTGCAACTTCTGAAAGTTACGTGAAATTGAGGATTTTCAAGTACCTGGGGGGGGGGGGGGGTGAATAGGACATCAGCTGAGTCGCCAGGTTCCCAAGCACAAATTTTCCACTCATCGAAGGACATTTTACCGTAGTCTTCCGGCCGACTGGTTGCAAGTGGAGCCCGTCCTTGGTGCGTCGGACGTGGCGGATTTATTGAAAGGCTGCGGAGAACGATCATAAACACCTTTATAAACTAGTTACCAACACACGTCACGTATGTTTATGTCTGTACTTCAGTGGACCAAAGTCAGTCAGTCTTTTTTTTTCGCTGACGCTAATTCACTTCCGTTCACTTGTATATATTTTCAAGTAGGATATATTATGTCCCAGCCGTTCGAAGCCTTGATTAGCGTCCTCTTTGCCTTTTATTTTTCTTCATTATTTTTTAAATTCTATGCATGATTTTATGTTTTTTATTTTGTTCAAGTTGTTTTTATTTTATTATTACGTTTTAGTTACTGTGACTTCATTTGTTTATGTTTTACCCTTACACGGTCCAGTTAGAACAAAGTATTTTTAAAGGGACTTTTAATGATTTATTTTATCATTGCCGAACCACTGGCTAAGCAATCAACGACGCTTGCCTTTGTTTACACCGGCGATGTTGCCATAAAAATAGCACTAGATGGTCTGTTGGTGCCTGGCCCCTGGGTCTGTACTGCGTGGCCGGCGCTTTCCTCGTGTATGATGTCCAAGGCGTAAGGGCAAACTTTATTTAAAAGTCGTATTGATGTTCACCAGATATTGTATTTGTGTTCTGTTTTACATTGCCATTTTACATTCAGCTTTAGTTTAGTTTTTTTTTTTCATTATAGTATTGCCGTTTTATGTTCAGTATTGGCCTGTTATGTTCAATTTTGCTTTTATTTCAACTTTCATTTGTTGTATATCCAGTTTTATTACTTTTGTATTCTTTCATGTTGTTTTATTTTAATAATGTTTATTTTCAGCTTTTTAGCTAAAACTGCCAGCCATATTGGCTCTGTCACCCTATTTTTCTAGCAAGAATGAAAAACTGAATAAGAAACTACATCCGCCCCCTGTTCTTAAGGACGTCGCCGTTTTTTTCCTTCATTGTTACCCTGCCTGACGCTTTTTAGTAAGAATTAATGCTCACAGCCAATCGCTAGTTTGTCTGCTCTCTAGAGTAGAAAATAAACA